GTCGCGGCGAGGAGGTGGCGGGCCTGGGGGGGTGGGGGCTGCCCCGACCCCCGTTCCCCCTCCCCGCACTTACCGCTCTGCGCCCCCGGGTACCCGCACCGCCCGGCTCCGCTCGGGGCGCTGCCCGGGCGGCTGCGGAGGAGCAGAGGGAAGGGAATTAAATAGGGAGAGAGAGCTCGGGAAGAAAGAGGTGGCGAGGGAAGGGATCAATAGCATCCAGCTGGCGAATGGAGCCGGGGCCTCTCCCCCGCGCTGCGTCCCGGCCCATGGCCAGAGCCTCCGGGCGCTCCGAGGGCTTTTCTCGGGCCGGAGCCGCCGCGCAGGCAGCGAACCCCGCGGCTCCCCCGGACCCCGGGGCCGGACCCCGCACGGCGGCCCGGGGAGCTCCCGCCGCCTCCCCGCGGCCCGGCCCCGCGCGTCTCGGTGCCTCTCGCCCTAATGATATTGCATCGATCGGGGAAGGGTCGGGGGGGGCAGGAGGGGGGCGCGGGGCTACCGCATTACTCAATTATGTCGCACTAATTACTAAAAAGTCTCTCTGTTTTTTGCTCTTTGCTCGGTGTGAGGCTCGGCGGAGGGCAGAGTCCAGCGCCCGTCCCGGGGGGCTCCCGGTGCTGCGGGCCCGGCGGGGCTGGGGATGGAGGGAGCCCGGCACGGGGCCGCGGTGCGGGACGGCAGCTGCAGGGATAGATCTATCGATGGGCGGTCGATGCGCTATGGCCATTATTACACTCAATGAAACCCTTCCAGACGCGGATGCTTCACCCCTGGTTTGCTCCCCACCTCCTCCTCGCCGCTCACCTCGACACTGACGCTCTGCACCCTCCGGCACCGCCCGGCTCCAGGGCCCCTGCCCATCCCCGCCCAGCTCCGAGCTTTCCCCTGCCCATCTCTGCCCATCTCCGAGCCTTCCCCTTGCCCATCCCTGCCCGGCTCCGAGCCTTCCCCTGCTCAGCTCTGCCCAGCCCCAGGCCCCCCTCTGTCCATCACTGCCCCCCTGTCCAGCTCCTGCCCACCCCTGTCCGGCTCTGGGGCTCCGTGCCCACCCCTGGCACCTCAACTTAGCCCCCTCTCCCCAATCTCTGCTGGACTCCAGACCGCCCTGTCCCTCCCTGCCCGGCTCCGAGCCTTCCCCTGCCCATCCCTGCCCGGCTCCGGTCCCGTTACCTTCCCGAAAACCGCCCGGCCCGGCTGGTTCCCCCCGTCTCAGGGGTCCTGCTCGGGGACCCCGGGCTCTCCAGGCAGGCATAAACCGAGGGGGAGGCCAAGGGGGGCCGCGGTCCCTCTGTACCCCGGTTCGGCGGGGCCCGCCCTGGCTCCAGGGGCTGGATCGGGGTGTAAGGGGCAGAAAAGGGGCAGACGGGAGGACCCCCCTCCCCTCCGATCATCATCTACCCTTGCTCTCACGTCCCAGGAATTTGCGGGGCTTTATTTTAATGAACTGGTTACTTAATTGACTTCCCGGAGAAGGTGCCAGATGGGATAGAAAACTGTGGGATGGATGGGATGTGATGCGATGGATGGAACGGGGGGGTTGAGATGGGGTGAGATGGCTTGAGATAGCTTGTGTTAAAAACACAGGATTTGGACGGGATTTGGCTGAGTTAGTCCCTGAGGAGGCGAGGACCGGGTAGGTCTCCACGAACACCCCCGGAAAGGCCGGGCCTTGCTGTCCCGCCACTGCCACCCCGCACCGGAGCTGCCAGCTCCTCCCGGCCATCCCTCGGCTGTGGAAGCCGCCTGGAGCCCGGCAGCGGCCGGGAACTGAGCAGTCCCCGCGGGGCTGGCGGGCCCCAACCGCAGGAAACTATAGATTTTATTTTTATTTTTTGGGTCTGTTCAATAAAGCTTGGGAAACCGGCATGTGCCGACCTGGGTGAGCGGACAAGGCCGGGAAAGGCCAGAATTGCCCGGGGAGCCCAGCTCGGGATAACGGGGCCGCGGCCAGCTGAAAATCTTTCTGGAAGGACAGCGAGCACCAACCCTCCGGTGGCCTAAAACCGGCTCACGTCGGCTCTTCATCCAGTCTTCCCTTTCCTTTGCCTTTCCATTTCCCTTTTCCCTTTCAATTTTCTCTTTCCATTCTCCATTTTCCCTTCGCGTTTTCCATTTTCCATTCCTATTTATTCTTTCCCTTTCCTTCCTTCCTTCCTTCTTTTTTTTTTTTTTTTTTTTGCTCCTCCACCATCGCTGCTCAGGGCCCTGCAGCACCGTGTGTCTCTCCAAGCGTGTCCCTGTCACTCTCCTCCCCGTGCCAAGGCCACCTCGCCTTCCCGAGCGAGGCAGCGCCCGCCGCGGGGCAAGGGAAAGATGGGGACGGGGGGGACACGCGTGGGGAACCCCGGCTGTGCGGGACAGGATATTTGGAGTAGAAAGGGACAGCCAGGCCCTTGGGAGGGGCACGGGGTGGAGAACGGGGCAGGCAGCGGGGGGCAGGGGGATGCTGGGGAAGCTGGGAACAGGCACATCCAGGGAGGTTGGCACAGCCAGATGTGTGCACAGGGAGTGGCCCGGGGCCAGCCAGATGTGTGGGGGCGCAGGCGGGCACCCGGCACCTGCAGCGCCGCCGGACGCGCCGGGCACCGGGTGCTGAGAGGAGGGCGCGACACCCGGTGCGGGGAGGGTCACGCCGGTGGCAGGGGTCACCCCGGGGCGGCGGTGTCACCGCGGGGCGGGGGGAAGGTGACCCGGCGGGGGTCCGGGTGAAGGCGCTCCCCGCGCCCGGCGGCACCGGGAGAGGAGCGGGGGGGCGGCTCGGTCCGCCGGGGGGGCGGGGCGGGGCGGCGCTGACGTCACGCCGCGGGCCAGAGCGAGGCTGCCGGGAGCCGGCGGCC